ATATGAATCTACACCTTATATAAGATATCTGTGCTCTTTGCTCTGAATGAACCTTACCCTCATTGGCTCATCAGGGTGGCCGGCCTTCATTGGCCGATCCTGCCTCTTGCTGCGGAGCAGCTGCTTAGCAAAGCTCTCCTTGATGATAGGATTGGCATCTGAGGTAGAGAGAAAGATAAGAGTTCGACAAAGAGATAAAGTATTTGCTCATACGTCTTGTGATACACACATCCAATAGTGCTGGGGAGAAAGATTCAATAGAGTTGACAAACTTAACATAAAATTGATAAAATTGTGTGTGTGTTGGCAGTTTCTTCTATTTTTACTTCCTCTTTACAAGACCTCTGACTTATTTAGTTTTTGCTGCAAACACAACAGCCGTTTGCTTGGCAGCTGGATATTGGCTAATCAGGATAACATTCCTCTCAGTGGAGGCTGTGTACAGACCCATGAATAAACCTCCTCTTTCCACTATCTGCTGCTGGTGGGCTGTGGCTAACCTGATCTGTTTAGCTTGTCCATGTGAGGCTGTTTATACCAAGGCCAGAGGGAGCTGCTCTAACTCTGTCTCTCTCTCTCTCTCTCTCTCACTCTCTCACARYCACACACACACACACACACACACACACACACTGGCCTCTGCAGAACGGGGACTCTCTTTCTCTGTCTCCCTCTCTCCAAACCCAGGCCTGTATTTGGAAGCATGGTATTTGGTGGAAGGTAACAAAGTGCCCATTCATCCTCCTCACTCCCCGGGGAGTCGGGCCTGTGCAGCACGTGACCCCAGTGAGCAGTGGGCTGCCTCACTCTCCCTCTCCTGCCAGAGGGAGCTGCTGTTGAAATGAACCCAGATACAGGCCAGAGCTGACCCAGGCCCTCACAGCAACGTGGCAAAACATATAACTCAGTCTCCAGCTGTCTCATTAAGAAAGACGAGTCACTGTGAAGATCTGTGCAGTTTCAATTTGTGTCCAAAGCCAGAATGCTGGCATGCTGATAATCAGTCAGTTTTCAGCATGCATTCTTGCAGCTAACAAAAAAGTTATCAAGTATACATGAGATTGTAATGGCTGTAATGTAATATTGGTGCAAAACAATAGACCTAAATGCAGCAATCGTTAAAGTAAAATTATCAATGAAACACAATCTCATATATATATAAATATATAAATGTAACTATGATATATTAGCCATGCAATAAAAGAAAGACACACTGAATTAATGCAACATTATTCTAAATGGGAGCATGCAGTTACTCTCATTATTTACTATTCCTCTTGGTTGTTTTCTGACCTAACAGACTACAATGCACCGACTCTGCTCTGCACTACAGATCATCATGACAGCATGTTGTTCTCGTCGGGCAGAGAGTTTCCTACCTGTGTAAGTGGTCAGCAGGACCAGGCAGAGCAAAAACACCACCAGCTTCTTCATTTTCTACACTTGTTTTTCCTGCTTGAGCTTTCTCTGTACTGAGGTCCTGACCAGAGTCCAGTGGGGGTGAAGGGGAAAATTCTCCTCCTCCTCCTCCTCTTCCTCCTGCTCCTCCTGCACGTCACCCACAAGCTGTCCCATATACCTGCTCATGTTACTGAGGAGATATTTACAATAAACAGCCAACAGTGACAATGAATCTAACTCACATATCTGTAATTTATCTAGATCTATGTAAACCTCTAAAGTTTCAAAGTGGCTCTCAAACGTTCTGGTTCATCTCGAAAATCTGAAAAAAAACATCTTTAACAATCATAAAGCAACGATGGGGAAACAAAAAGAGATTGAGTTCTTATAAAGGTCAGAATTATAGCGTCACCAAACTCCTCACATAAATCATTTCGACTTACTCCATATCTTTCCTCTGGTCATCCCTCTGCTGTGGCTCTGTGTTTCTCCTGGGGGCCCATCCCCGAATTTGAGAACCACTAACCTAATGTGAGGTTGGTTGAAGCGGTGAGCATGCTGTCCACTAGATGGCAGTGTAAACATACCGTTGTGAAGGCAGTTTAAAAAATGCCTTTGGCTATAACAACAAAGACTAATGTCAAACTTGGTGATGATGATGATGATGATGATGATGATGATAACGTGCGTTACAAAGTAAAATGTGGATTTGGGGGCTTTATCTACATAGAAACCAAATGACAGTATATCTTAACGTTTGCTGCTTAATAACTATTCTTTTTTAATCTGCCAGTTGGAGACCTTCCGCTTTATGAGAATACAATGACCGAGCTGCCTCTCTGACACTAATGGGCCAACAAATAAAATCTAGGAAACAGCCTTTAAAAAGTGAGTAGTCAATACAGAACATAAGAAAGAATTGAAATAGAGAAAGCACTTCATTTGTGGTGAGTTACCTCATAAACCCTTCTACTAACACTACCAACACTATATATCAGAATCAGAATCAGAAGTACCTTATTAATCCCCGTAGGGAAATTACAATTTAAAATGCCAGCATTATGTTCTTATTGTTCCTATTATTAAAAACACAGAAAATGACTAAATACCATATAATATACAGTACAGTGGGAGGAAGGGAGACAGACCATTTGAGGCCTCTGCCAGTTAACATTTCACAAAATTAGAAAACACAAAATAAACGTGCAGAACACTACGAACTAATAACAACATCATGTGAATTAAAACAGTAAATAATAAGAATGACAGCATCCAGATTAAAGCTAACGTGTTCCACAGTCTGTGTTAATATGTATCTGTCAGGTATAAATGTATACATTTATCTCGTGGTAATGGATTGGCTGCCTGCCAGTGACATGGAGGGCAGACGTCACAGTGCGTCATTCTTTCCGTTTCCGCATCTCCCCTCGCCCCGTGCACCAGCGTGCGTGTGTCCCGTGCCTTCGTGCGGACTTTAGTGATCACTGAGCTTCTTCTTATCTGCGGCTTCAGACGCTTTTATTCCCTCATGCGATCATTATGGAATCGCGATGTAGCTCACGACGCATGCGCACTGGAGTCTGTACGTCAAGCGATTATAATCCGAGATGATAAATAATAATGAGGTTTCATCTGTATTTACTTCCGTGTTCGCTGAGCGCGTTGGGCCCTCTCTGGTCTCCACAGTGGTTTTCATTTTCCAATTTTATTACAGTGACTATTTGCTCAAGCTATGTTTGATATTATGAGTTATATTGAT